TGCTTATTGCATCTGAAACTGGACTGCCCCAAAAATGATAAGTGTGATAAAAGTGCACCTTTGCGTCAAATCGTTTTGGTGTCTTGGGAGCACTTATTGCTTGCATCATAAGAAATAAGTACACCGAAGACACCAAGACGATTAGACCGAAGCTCGCACTTTAATCACACCTTTTTAATAAGTGAAAACGCGCTTATAAGTCCAGTTTGGTGTGAAATGCGCAGTAAGATTACATTTTTTAATATTTAGTTTCAATAAACTTTTACTACACCATCTGTAAAAAACATGTATTTCATTCTGAAACACATTCATATCGTTATCGCTTTCTATTTCTAAAAATAGCTTCATGTCATCAGCGTATATAAGAACTCTGATATTATTTAAACTAAGAGAGACGTCAGTAAGGTGTTTCGCTGTGAAATCCTTATTCTCGTTTGCTGTTTGATGGAAAGCTGCACGGTTTTATATATTAGTTTTGACATAAGAGAGCATCCATAAATGACGTAGCATTTTTTTGACCAATTTTAGACCCCTCCTCCCCCTTCGTAGCGTATTTTGCTATATCCAATACATGGCCGGTCACAAATTCAGAAACCCCCACCTCCCCTCTCAAATGCTACGTCATTTATGCATGTTCCCTAATTGAAGAAGTTTCTTCTCAGTTTTTATGTTATACTCATACAGTGCCATTAAGTTGATCACAAATACTTAAATGCTTTTCGATATTATCACGATTTTTATGTTTTCTGTATATTTTGTGAACTTTTTGTTTTCGATTTTTTATGTTAATGATATGATTATTGAACCAAACCGGATATTTGGAGGAATAATTGCGTTGTCTTCTTTTTAATGGAATTTTCTCGTGAATTACGTAAAACAACACAACCTCCACTGCATATTCAACAGTTACCTAATCCTTCAAAATGGTTTTCCCATTTAATTTATTTTTAATATTATCATAATTAGCATTCTTGTAGTCGAACACATTTTCATACTCACAGTGGTTGGGGTGTTGACTGTCATGAACAAATATGGAATACTCGATTGCTGTGTGAAATGCTTCATTCTTCCATAAAGGAGAAATGTACATTCGTTAACAAGAATTCTAGGAAACGGTTCTATTGGTTTTGAATGGTTTATTTGGTTTAATCCTAAAAGCAATTTTTTTCAAATAATAATTATAATGTTTCGTTTTCATCAACGACTGGGAGCAGAAAACTCGCATGAATCAGGAATAAAATCAGCATTGCGTTGATTGAAATCTCCATAAATATCGATTTTGAATTCAGGGGGAAATTGAAATACGATTTTTTCAGCTGTTTGGAAGAAGCTTTCATATGAGGACTTGCAAGCGTAGTCTAGGGGCAAATAGACTGTAGCGAAAATATGGGTTTTAACAGCTATATTTGTCTTTACCCACACCCAAATTCTTTTACTTTCGATGAGACTATAAGTTCTGAAATAAATTTTTGAAGAAATAGCAATAAGAACTCCCCCACCTGACATTCTTTGGGTTTCGAGTAAGTCATGATCATCTCTAAAAACATTATAATCATTTCCAAAAGTTTCCTCACTTTTAATGATCTCGTTCCAACCATAATATTACATGGGAATTCGCCAATAAAAAATGTGTCGAATTTTATGAGTGTATTAGAACCTTTTACTGATGGTTTGAGAACTTTAATGTTAATGATTATGGTAGTCAGTAAGGTCCATTAATGGTTTTGTATTATCGGTGAGCTTTATGTGGAATATACGCAAATTGGTAATCAGTAATTTACAGGCAACCAATTCGCGATATATTCCACATAAAGTTGATCGATGTTGATCATAACCATACCATTATAGTTCTAAAATCATAAATAAAATGGTTCCAATATTATTCCTTTCCCAAATGGTTCGCATTTATGCGGATCTATCAATCGAGTCTCCTCTGTATTTCTTAACGAAGAATTCAGAAGGTCCTATCTGATTTGATCGATTGTCTTCATGGAAATTTTCTTCCGTAATAGCTCAGCTGCAAAAATATTCTCTGTTGAATTTGATGTTCTGGATGCTAGATGAGAATTTCATTTATCAAACTATGTTGCAAAAAGTAGCGTGAAATCTGTTTGTATAGCCATGTCTATCAAAAGAGAAAGTCAGTTAAGAGAATAAATCAAAGCAGATAGGACCTTTTGAAATGTTCATCGCGATTTGAGTTTTCCAGGCAGGCACGACCATTGCCCCACCGTCGTTTTGCTTCGTTCTTATCGGTAAACCTTGCGTGAACACACCATGCGTTTCAGTGGTTTAAAGGGTGATACGGTCAAAATTTGGTCAAGGGAAAACGCGTGTAAATCGGTGAAATCGTTTATTTAAAAAATCAAATTAAATTTCTTTTTCAAGTTCAATTAGTATAAAATTCAGGAAAAATATTCAGTTAGGCTTCCGCTTTTCCAAATCCGAATTGCCGGGCCTTACGCTTGACCCCTGCCATCAGATTTTGTACAGTCACCTTGTCCACCTTCTTCGCCGCAGAAAGCCAGTTTGCCTTGAACTGCTGCTCGCCCTTAGCAGTTTTTTGGTCTTCTTTAGGTTCCGCTTGACAATAGCCTAGTATTTCTCAATTGGGCGGAGCTCTGGCGTGTTGGGAGGGTTCTTGTCCTTGGGAACCACCTGCACGTTGTTGGCGGCGTACCACTCCATGGCCTTTTTACCGTAATGGCAAGATGCCAAATCCGGCCAAAACAGTACGGAACAACCGTGTTTCTTCAGGAAAGGCAGCAGACGTTTATTCAAACACTCTTTCACGTAAATTTCTTGGTTGACAGTCCCGGAAGCTATGAAAATGCTGCTTTTCAAGCCACAGGTGGCTTGCCAAACCAGATATTTCTTTGCGAACTTTGACAGTTTCATGTGCTTGAAAACATCTGCTACCTTTCCCCTTCCTTTTGCCGTATAAAACTCCTGTCCCGGAAGCTGCTTGTAGTCGGCTTTGACGTAGGTTTCGTCGTCCATTACCATGCAGTCAAACTTCGTCAGCATCGTCGTGTACAGCCTCCGGGATCGCGCTTTGGCCGTCGTATTTTGTTTATCATCGCGATTTGGAGTCACTACCTTCTTGTAAGTCGATAGTCCGGCTCGTTTTTTGGCTCGATGCACGGTTGTAGACGATACACCCAGCTTATTTGCGGCATCTCGGAGAGAGAGGTTAGGGTTTCGCTTGAAACTACCGGCAACTCTCTTTGTCGTCTCAGCGGCTTCCGGTTTTCGATTTCCCCCCGATCCAGACTTCCTGGCTGTCGAAAAACGTTCCCCAAACACTTTAATTACATTTGTAACGGTTGATTTGGCAACTTTTAGCGATTTTGCCAACTTTGCGTGCGAGTAGCTCGGATTTTCGCGATGCGCGAGCAAAATTTTGATACGCTGCTCTTCTTGCTTGGACGGCATTTTGACAACTGAAGTGTGAATTCCAAAATCAAAATAGGAGCAACATTCTACACACACACACCTTCAAAATGAGGGGTGTTCAGGTTTTTTAAAAGCAAAATTGAAAGAAATACGTCAAGTTGATATTGACCAAATTTTGACCGTATCACCCTTTAGTAGGTGTTTGTTATAGTTTCTGAATTTTTATGTTACTTTTTAAACTATCATTGGGGCTATACTGAGACTGTTGATGCTACACACTCAGATACGTTTGGCTTGTTCGGTAATTGTTTACCGGAAATAATCAGTAAACGAAAATTATTACAGATTCTTCGGTAAAACATAAAAAAATACCAAAATTCGTAAAAGTTTTACCGAAGTACCGGTGATCTGATTTTTAAATGACGAACTCTATAAAAAAAATTACAATGCGATCTGTAAAATGAGATAATCGCCGAGTTCGGTAAAAAAAAATACCGAACCAACAGTAAAACATAACCGAATTACCGAACTTCTGTACGTACAAACTGTCAAATCGTGAAGAAACTTTGATTATAAGTGAACCGTGCTTCGAGGATAAGCACCAAATTAAAGTGCTGATGAATGGAACGAGGTACAGTATTATAAACAGAAGGATTTTGCAACAAATAATTCACATAACAATGACTATTATATAGACCGAAGACATTTTTAACATCCTAATACAATGTCACCCGATCTATTTGTCAAATAAACACTTCATTCGAGCTGTTAAAATGACGTTTACTACCACCCAAACTTTGAAATAAAACATTATTTTGAGATTTTTTCTTCTGGAACGTCGAGAAAAGTAGCCAACATTTGTGCGTTTCATAAAAAAATAGAAATTAGTTGGTCCAGTTTTGTGAAATCGCTGCTACGCCAAAACTGCTTGACAACGTGTTCAAATGATCATTCATGGAGGGCTCAAACGATTATCCCATGAGCTCGATATTATAATGCAGCCATTTTCCGTTTTAAATATCGCACCAGAACCTTCCGGCATTTTTTTTTTCAATAAAAAGTATCAAATATTATTGAAAAAAGAGAATTCAATACAAATTTATTGAAAAAAGTAGTAGAATTGAAAAAGTTTAAGTTCTTGTTTCACGGATGTTCGATGATAACTACCGAATTGTTTTGTAGAAAATTACCGAATTGTTCGGCAATTTTGACAGATAATCAAAAAATCTGTTTACCATTGCATTTACAGAACTGATTACGGAACGTTCAGCTGTTGAATGTTCGGTAAAAAATTATCGAATACGGTAATAATTCACACTAACAAACAAATAAACAAGTAAACTGCAGTCCGAACATAGCATTCATTCAATTCAATGCATATATTTCCGATACTTTTTACTACTCGGGATGGTCAGCTTATGAACTGCTGGTGAGCTTTCGCATTTCGCCATGTTTATATGTATATCCGTTTATCCCTATGTATTCAAAAGCTTTTGCCTATATTACCACGTTGTATGTAGGTATCTATTGCTATATATCCTTTGGCATACCACCGTCGTCGTCTCCGCGATGGCTCTAATGTTTTGTGTTTTCCAAACCGAAAGTGTGGTGCATTTCGAGTGTTGTTTTCATCCGCAAAGGACGTGCTTTTCCGGAGATTCAGCTGGAAATACATTTTTCCACTGCAGGAACGTTCACGTTGGTGGTCAGTGGTTTTTCTTAAACCACACAGGAGTCATAGTGGAGCTTTAATTGAAGTGCTTTTGCCTGGGGGGATTTTTTTCGTTTGGAACGAGAAGTCGAGTGAAAAGTGTGAAAATCGTTCACCTCCGACTCTCGGAAGGAAGTGAATCGTTGAGTGGTGGGGCGAACGACGCATAGCTAGGAGAATAAATAAAACGTTTTAACACAACCACAGGAGTTTTATGTTAAGGGTGGAAAAGTGATTTTTCCCAACAGTGCTCTCGTCTTAAGTGTTGCAATTTAATTGATTTTTTTTATATTAAGTGGATTAGTGGAAAAAGTGATACACATTTACAGTCACCTGATATTTTTTCTTGAATGTGACTAAATGGAAAGTGGGAACCAGGAAGCATAGACCGATTATTAGCAAAGAAGGAAGCCGCACATTGCCGAACAGGACGAGCAAGTGAAAAGCCGCAAGCACGCAATTAGTGGCCGTATTTTCTCAACACTAACTGGATACCATCGACCGTACGGCAACCGGTCATACAAAGGTAAATACGTTCTTTGTATATAAAAAAAAGTAAAAATGGAAATCCTATTTTTTTTATCAACTCATTGATGGTGAATGAACGGAAATGAGGAGCAACGATACTTACGTAGAAAACTGTAATACGTAATACGCATAATACTGAGAAGCGGTAAAACAATCCGACATTAATACTTAGTTATATAAGGACATACATTGTGATGGAAATGGATGAAATAAGGAAAACATTGTTCACGCATTTTACCGCCCGGTGACTAAATAGGAATAACTGGAACTAATGTGGTTGGTTGGTTTTCTTTATTTAAGAGACTTTCAGCCGTAGAACTAATGTGAATGGGTACTATTTGGTACGCAAAACTCATACTTAACTTTTATAAAATCCATCCAGTGGCACAGCCAGGATTTTTGTCTGAGGGGGTGGGGAGGGGGTTGTTAGGGGTTTCAAAGTGATAAAAGAAAATGTTATTTTTGCATTTTTTTTATGATTTAATATCTGTGTCAAGTGTTCCTGACCAGTAACATCCAGGGAAACGATTCCCGCGAATTTTACCAAAAATCACGTTCTACGGAAGCTAGTTCGGTTTCCTGGGAAAAGCCAAAAAAGGTATACTGTAGTTAAAAAAAGCATTAAAAATAGAGAGCACGGACCAGGAAACTTTTTTTTAGAGGTTTGAAAGAACTATCAGAGAAATTCCGGAGAAACTGGGAAGAACCATCTGGAGGAAGCTGTCAGAATCTGTCAGGAGATCAATATCCAGAATAAGTAGAAGTGCTTTTGGGACAAGAATCTCCCCCTAGCAGTCAGAACAAACTTCTGGAGGAAGTCTGGAAAATACTCACAGACGATGTCGGAATAAGTTTCTAGACGAAATCTGTAGAATTTCTAGTGGAAGTTTAAAGAAGTCGTATGAAATATCCTAATAAAACTGGATGGGTCTTTTTTTTCAAAATTAGAAGATCCTTATCGACAAAAAAAAACCTCAAAAAACTTCCGGTCGGAAGACACTTACAGGGGAAGTCAGAAAAAACTTTTTCAAATGAAATCCAAGTTGAATGAAGCTCCTGAGGCAATCAAATAGTTTCTTTTTCGATATTTTTCAAACAGAATAGAGAAAAAAATAAACCATAGCGACAACCTCTCAAATTGATGCATCTGTTGTGCAATCAACTCTCTCGTACTTGATACCATAAAATTTAAGAGAAAACGAGTATTGAAGGCAAATTTTGAAAATTTGAATAGCAAAAGTGGTCGAGATATTGAGTTAACATATGGAAAGAGCAGAAGTTGACTCCTATTTAGGTGATTTTGTTTTTCAAAGGTATAGTTATTGAAAAATTTCAATTTCTTTATTTTTAGCGCCAGCATTGAATTTGAGAAAATAAGGTGAATGGTTTCAATAAGTTTTAAAAATTCGCTTAAACAAGTTTTTAAAAATCTATATTAACGAGATTTTTAGCAATAGACTAGTTCACCTCGGTCGCTTAAATAAGTGAATTTCAGATAAAAAAAAAATTCAGTAGCAATACTATATCAAACACTAGGAAATTATGCCGGAACAAATGAATAATTTTACTTTTGTCACTCGGCATTCAAAACTGTAGAAAGGGAAGGGGAAAATAATATTACAATATTACATGAAATTTGAAGGTAAAACAAAACGTACTTCAACCAATTTAAATTATATCATAGCATGAGTTCCATTTGCATATTATTCAACCATATTTTATGGCTTGAAAGAATTGTATTGAATCATGAAATAAAATTTAAACCATTTAAAATAAATAATAAACATAAAATGAAACTAAGAGAGGCTTCATATTTACAATGATCCCTAAAAGGACATTAAAGAGACCTCTGCAAATTTTAGTAACACTAAAAGGCACAGTTTAAAAGTATTTAAAATCCTATATAAAGCTATTTCTGTTGTTGTAACGAAAACATGAATAAAAACTTAATTATTTTGAAGAACATGCATAGTTTGAAAGAATATCAAACTATAATTAATACTTAATAACAAAAATTATAATTTCCAAAGAAATTGAAAAAAAAATCCAGATACATAGAGATCTTTTTGATTTATTAAATATGACCTAAGAAGGGCATGAGAATTCACAGAACACTAATTTCTTTAAGACTTAAACGCTTTCCAGACTGGAGAGTTATAACATGTTATAACGGTTGTCAAATAATTGCAACACAGAAACCACCATCAAGATAGCGCTATAACATGTTATAACTCTGGGGGCGACCCCGGCGTAGTGGTTAACATCCATATCCCTCACGCCAAAGTCACGAGTTCAAATTTCACCCCCAAACAAGTCACGAATGACCCGAGAGTGTTAAAAAAAATGGTATAACTCTGTAGACTGAACGTACACTGATAAATTGAACTATTCCCATTTTGCTTGAAATTTAATCAATTTGACATTAAACTCAGTTTAATCATTTCGAATGATTAAAAATTATTTCTCTCTTTCTAAAACATAAGCATCTGATATTAATCCCAGTTTAATCATGGTTGATTACCCGAGCAAAGTCTGAGATCAAATTGAAATCTAAATTTGATGTTGTGATTTCGCTGGTAATGATTACTCAGGTTGCTGTCGTTTTGGTCGTTTTAACGGTTAAAATATCACAATTGAGAGCAAACAAATCTTCCTGTGACATCACATTGAAAACTATTTCTGCTATCAGTGAGAGCAAACTAAAAACTTAATTTGATATCCATTTTTCCTGTTGATAGCAAAACAAGTATTCAATTAGATGTTATGCTAAGGCAATGAAAACAAACCCGCAACAACATATTTCTGAAGAGCAAATGTACAGCAAAATGAAAATAAAATTAGGTATCAAATTTGTCAATTGTGAACTGAAATCAAATTATGATTTCAGTATGATGTTGATATCAAAACATGATTTCAATTTGCTGTCATTTTGATGCTGTACTTTGCTCGGGTAGATTGTAGATTATCTTTTTTTGAATAAATTTTAATCATTCTTGATTATATTTTAATAATTTTTGATTGAATTTTAATCTTTTTCGATTATATATCAGTATTTAAAAAGAATAAAATTTAATACTGGAAAGATTATTTCGATTTTAATCATGCATGACTACTGCCGAAGTAATCATGGCTCGGACTCAATAAGGTGAAGCGGGCATCTGCATACTGTTTAAGCTTTTTTGAATCAATTTATATTTGAGTGTACTATTACACGGTGTAGGAACATTAGGCCGAACGGCATTAAGCCAAATGGGTCACTAGGCAGAGGTTGCCAAAAGTCATTAGGCAGAGGTTGCAGCTTCTTCTGTACGGAAACCCACTTTTTCTTCATGTCTTCTTCAGATTTGACCTCCTTGGGAAGCTTCCGTAGTGCCTGCTTCATATCCTTGGGTACAAAAGTGACCCCGTTGGCTTCGTACCACTCCAGGATAACATTTGAATAGTGGCACGAAGCTAGATCCGGCCAGAAGATCGTAGGGTCCTCGTGTTGCTTCAACAGATGAAGCAGGCGCTTCTGTAGACACTCCTTGAGGTAGCTCTCCACGTTTGCAGTCCCGGTAGTCACGAACGGCGCACTCCGTCTGCCACATGAGCAGATCGCTTGTCAAATCATGTATTTCTTGGCAAACTTTAAGCACGAAATCACAGTCGACGGGAAAAAGTATCCTTTAAGAATAACACTGGAGGAGGGAGCAGTGGAGGTGAGGCTGTACAATTCCCGAGGACGTGTCTGACATAAAACTCGCCGATTTCCTAGGAAGGAACGGTGACGTCATTGCAGTACGAGAGCATCGAAATGGAGCTGAAGTCCATTTTCCTGGCATCTCAACCGGTGTTCGTATGGCGAAAATCGTCGTGGAAAGGAAAATTGAATCGTGGGTTACCATCGACCCCCTCTACACGTCAACAGCCCCCTGATAGTGGCGGAGTGGATCGCAAAACTACTACACGCAAACCAAAAATCTATTACAATCAATGTTAGTTCCGTTTCCTATCATCCTCTGTTCATGAACATCGCAGCGAATGTTAGAAGTTGACCTTACAGGCGATGTAATGGTTTTTTGTCTTTTTCATTTCGTGTTCTTTCTACGCTTTCGACTATACCAGTAAGCTTGTAGAACGACACACATTGTAGAACATTGTAGAACGACGCACACACTTGCCTCGAATCTCTCCAGCAGAAAAAGCATACGAAGTCGAGCATTTTTATTTCGGGTTCAATCTACGCTTTCGACGATACCAGTAAGCTTGTAGAACGACGAACATTGTAGAACATTGTAGAACGACGCACACACTTGTCTCGAATCTCTCCAGCAGAAAAAGCATACGAAGTCGAGCATTTTTATTTCGTGTTGCATCTACGCTTTCGACTATACCAGTAAGCTTGTAGAACGACGCACACACTTATCTCGAATCTCTCCAGCAGAAAAAGCATACGAAGTCGAGCATGCGAGAAAATGAGCGCTTCATGTTTGCTTAAAGGCTAACCATATTCAGAAGCATGGAGAGAGCAGTGGAGAAACCACAGGTCTGATAGTTGCAACGTCCGTGGTTCGAGCCCAGTCGGCAACCTTTTTTCTATTTTTTCCACATAATTAATTTCACTCACTAATACACTCCACATTTTTCGGTCTCCAATTTTCTTACATCGGACCGCAGCTAGGTATATCGCATCCTCGGTTCATGCGGTCTCCACTTACATCCTCTGATGATGAATCCCACATAATTGTAAGCGAATCTTACATCCACCGGTTGGGTGTAGTGGTAAGTCCTAATGGCTGAGTTCTCCAGTTATAATCTCGCATGAATCAACATCAACAACATCACGAACGCACAGCTGCAGCTGGAAAACGTTTTCCTTAAGGAGGTGAAGAATGAGCAGCTCTCTCTCCCTAGCTTCAACGTCGTTTGCAATGTGGATCACGCGAGGCGGGGACGGCAAAAAGATCACATACAATTCTTGCATGTCGAGAAGAGCCTGGATGAGCCTAAGACTCT